GCAGCTCCTGTGTGTGTGTGTGTGTGTGTGTTATTGTAAAATAGTCTCCAACAACCACAACCACAGTCGGCCTAGAAAATCCTGAGCAGTTAATCCAATTACATTTAACACATCGGGATCCTGAGCTCCAAATCCGATAAGACGATAAAAACAGACAGAGATGTTTAGTTCTGTTAACCACATTTACACACACACACACTTGCTTTTACAACCGTATACAGATTTTGAACATCTCCTGCAGCAGGTGAGCGTAGAGGTGGACAGTCTGGACCCGGTCAGTACCAACATGTGTTGGTCGTTGGTGATTAGGCTGTAATTCGATGGTAAAGCCCTTTTGCGCTAAGAACTAAAGTACTGTCTAAAATAATCACCATGTGATCCTTCAGAGGGTGATCAAAGCTCAGCTTGGCCTAGATCCACCTTCGTCCATCAGCTGAGGAACGCACTGACCCCAGCATGTTGTTTTAGTTTCAGTTCTTCTGAGTGGACAACAGTTTCTGGGTCTCTACTCGACCAGGAACGCAGGAAAAACAGAAATCCTTCCCTCCTCCTGCTCAGTGCTCACCGTCGACTATATCACGAATGGAATCTTTATTTTATTGAAACAAGCTCTAACATCAACACCTCATCAGTGTTTGAGTGAAGGCCGTGTTGTTGTGTAAGGAGAAAAAACTCTTTAGTCGATCAGCAGGACAAGAAAAAACGAACCCATGTTCTGGTTGGATTTTTCTCGTCCTTGGTGTTTCTGGGCTCAGTGTCAGCTCTCAGGACTGAACCACAGCCAACCTGATTCAGTGCATTGATTTAAACCTGAGCCCAGCACCGCCGCCCCCCCCCACGACCCCCGCTCCCCACACTCATTCACCTATAGAATCTAACAGTGTGGGAAACAACCAAGACAGACAAGAAGCTAGTGATTGACTCAGGCCAGATCAGAACGCCCCCTCCCCCCACCACCACCCCCCCCTCCCACAGTAGAACTAATCAGATACTGATGTATGATGTGAAAAACCATTTGGAGAGGTTTTGGAGAACCATTTTACCCAACGATCCAGGAAGAACAACGCTTAATACTTTTCAGATTGACTGAGCGAGCTTGAACTACTAACAGTCGTCAGAAGGGGGCGAGATTAAACCCTGGACAGTTGAATTTATTGCCAAGTGTCACCGTCGGTCCTCTGGCCAGACTTTGGACACCCTGTCTCGGGTCAGAGTTCTTCTGCTGTTGAAGCCCGTTCTGTTGACGTTGTTGACGATGTGGGCTGGAACTCTTCTGGTTCTCCGTGACTGTTTCTAAGATCTGCTCTCAGAGATGGAGATTTCTCTTTAAAGCTCGGAGATTAGTTCTTCAGCAGATGTATCGATGTGTCCTCCACATAGGAGCAGTAATTATCAGCTTCACTAGCTTTAATTAGTGGGTTTAAGAGGAGTACGGCTGGTACTCGCTGTCCCTTTGATCTCCCTCGTATGTTATGCAAACGAGGCGGCTTTTGTTCGCAGCGCCGTACGTTTTCAGCAGAAGAATGCGCGGAGATGGAGCGGCATCTGGAGAGTCGACGACGCCTCACTGGTCAAAGCTGCTCTGACGTGATCAAAGTTTACAACGAAACAGACACTTGTACACAGTGATAGCATCCATTTGCGCCACTTAGCGCTGGCGTGAGCTGCAGATGGAGCACGTGGATCTAAATGATCTAATTAAAGTTCCTGTGATTCTCAGCACTAAACAGTGCCGTATTCCCAGGTGGGAAAAAGAAACCGATCCCGGTCCCTTCTTTCTCCCTCTTTTTTTAGTGCCGTCGTTAGCCGTGCACCTGCTCTGCAGTGAAATACCCAAACACTCGTCCCTGAACTCCAGTGAACCAGACACAGGGTGTGGCTCAGGTTTTTGGTTCTCGTCTCCAGGGAATCTGAAGGAACATTAATCAGTCTGTAGCTGCCTCCGGGGGTTCCATGGTGTGACTGCAACTCATTACTGAAATGTTATCACCTAATTTAATAAGGAGTAAAAAAATCAAACATCGTCGTCTGTCAGTTAAGAGCAAAAACTCCCACAAACCCTTGGCTTAAAGTGACTGCTCTGGGTCTTAGCCGGATTTCTGTTTCAGAATTGTCAGAAAAAAACCCAGTGACAATAACAGAGAAGGATTTAAATAAATAATATAATTAGTAGTATTATTATAATATAACACACTACTCATTCATTATATTTTTATATATTTGTATAAAATATTATATATATATATATATATAATAACTTACTTCAACCCCGACATGTAGCCTGGTTTCCCTCTCTCCCTCCCTCTCTCCCTCTAACATGGAGCCTGGTTTCCCTCTCTCCCTCCCTCTCTCCCTCTCTCTCTCTCTCTCTCTCTCTCTCTCGGTCTCTGTTTCCTATTGGCAGGCGTTGTGGTCATTGGCGTGCGGCCACACTGCCTGACTGATTTGTTGCCCTGCTGGTTCGCTTCACGCTGAGGTCATTTGAACCTGCCCCTCAATTTATCACAGCTAATTGTTGTTAGTGAGTGAGTGTTTGTCTCCGTCCAGAGCCAATTAACACGGACTAACTGCACCAGTCGGCGCTGCAGGGTATTAACGCTCGCCGCGCATAAAAGTGAACACGTACAGACGCTCGTAATTTCACTGTTCCCACACAAATGAACTGCACTTTGGAGGTGCCGCTGACATTGACATGTTAACCTGGGTTGTTAGCGTAGCTAGCTTCATTTATGGATCATGATCTTACTGATGGTGAGAGGGCGTAGCAACACTTCAAGCAGACGGCTTGATTTAATTATGTTTTTAGCTAATGACTAGCTCTCTGTGTTGAGCTAGTGCTAAGCTGGGCTTTAGCTAGTCAGCCAATCACAGAAGTTTCTCATATAAATGAGCTGAATTATTAATGATTCTCTGGGATTACATAACTTTTGCAAAGTATTGTGGTTTTTTTCCAAGTTCTCATGTCTTGTCCTGTTTGACTGGAGTTGCTGCAGCCTACTAAGTACCACTAGTCTGTACCAAGGAACCAGAGACAGTACCTTGGTATCACACACACACTGACGGGCGTGTACTGTTGTGTACGTGTGTATGTTTGTGAACAGATACTACCTGGAGGGAAAGGTGGGGGGTTTACGTGCCCCTCATCCACAGGCTCAGTTTACAGAGAGCTGTGGAACGGACACTGTGTAAATGTGGATTAGTGGGACACACACACACACACATACACACACACACACATCACGGGTGTTAGAATGACCAACACTCCCTTCACGCTGCTGCCATCAAGCCTGCAGCCAACAGCAGATCCAGAAAATGGAAGCAAACGTCCGTGGCTCCTGCTGAGGAGTTGGAGGGTTTCAGTGGGAGACGGCGGAGGAAAATGTTTGTGGTCACAGCCAGGCTGTTTATTCTGTCAGTGATGAGCTCATTAATCATCCTCTGCCCGTAACAGGCTGACAGATATTTGGCAGAGGTCATTTGCCACCTGTTGTACAGAGAAACATCTCCTAAATGACCACGAAATTAAAAAGAATAAAGCGAATTCCTGACCGTGCTAGATACTTGAATGAGTCCAATTTGGTGAAAATGGATTTCAGCTGTCGGATGAATTTGATCTTTTAACTGTTTCATAGAAATATAAGGTTTGTAAAATGGACATAGCCATTTGCGTAGATTTCAAAACAGCCGTCGCGACCCCCCGACAGAATCCTTGGGAAGTAGTTTCATGGTTTTTGTTGTGCAGCAGAAAACAAACGACTACAGACTGCCACTAAGTCTTAGCAATAGATCCGTTGTCTTTCTTCAATTCCTGCCAGTACATCAGTGTGGTGTGTAACTAAACAGGCGCAGGTGTCACTCCTCTTTGTTCAACCTGGGATCGTGTTACTGTAAAATATTTGCACCGTGGCTCAGAAAAGATTGTGAAAGTCAGCTGAAGGGGTCACATATTGAGAAGAACAACCATTAACACTCACTTTCACACCTTTTAGTCAAACTAAAGTGTCAGAACAACATAATCTCCCATGGAAGTACACAGTATCCAGAAGACTGAATATGCAAAATCTGTGCAGTAAAAGGGAAGTATTTCAACAATGGTGTGACTGTGTATGTGGAAAGTAACCAGGAAGTACAAACATCCCAGTTGAATTTCCTGGTGGCTCTACCTCTTGATAGACTTCCTCCACTTCCTCATACACAATTATTTTTGTTGTCCAATCAAATTTGAAAGCCCTTGTGTTATGAAGACACCAAATGAGCGTATTAATATATTGGTGATGGGCCGGCCCTGTTGAACATGCTGTTGTAGCTGTCGTGTTTGTTCGAGCACTTATTGATTTCAGCTCAGTGTTTAGACCTGTGGAAACACGCCACCCATTGATTCCACAGCCTCAGGCTTCAGCCTCACCTTTGGTGATTGGATTCACGCCAAATGAAGAAGTGAGAAAATCTCAGTGTCACATCTTTCCAGAGCGATATCGAACGCAGGCGTTTGCTCATCCCGTCTCTCCATAAGAGATTCATCGTTTAGTTGCTGCTGCAGTGATGGAGAGAATCAAGAGGCTCCAGACTGGGCTGTAGGGGGCAGTTTAGCCTCAGTGGCTAAAAAATAAAAAAAAAATTCAAATAATTTAAAACCATCAAGCCTTTGTATTCAGCTGATATATGTGACTTTTCAAAGAAAAAGACAGTGACATCACGTTGCGTTTGTGGAAATATGAAGCTAGCAAGTGGAACACCTGTCAATAGTTTTGTTTTCCATTTTGTTCTTTGTGCCATTTTGGTTTTATTTTCACATTTTGCACAAAATAATAATCATCTTTCTAACTTAGCTTAGCTTAGCTTAGCTTGGCTAAGCTAAGTTTGTTCTGGTTCACTATTTATCTTAGCTTTTATAGTTCCTGTTTCACACGTTAACCTCATCTTGTTCTTTCTTCCTCTCCTGCCCCG